GCTGTAGCCGGCTGAAATGAAGGGAAAAAGACTGGGGAAACGATCCTGAACAGCTGGCAAGACTACATCTCTCTTCACCATATTAAAGGCATTTCTAAAGTCAATTTTTAATACGGCCTTGTCTTCGGGTAGGCCCCTGATGTGGGGGCCCTTGCCGCTTGGCTGTGGCTTCACTTTTCTTGAGAGCCCCCCCAAAGGGCCCAGCCGGGGGGGCGGGAAAAACTGGCAGCTTTGGGCGAATGTTTTTTTTACTGCTGCTTTGGAAAGGGAAGGGTTTGAAGAGTTTTAAACCAACACTTTTGGGTCTGATTTCCCTATCCTTCTTCTTCAAAAAAAATTTAGTGGGGCCCCAAAAAAAGGGAAGGTTTAATTTTTTCTGGGTTTCCCCCAGCCAGGAAGTTGTTGAGGGAAAGTTTTAAACTCGATCAAAAGGGAACCCTGATCAGAAAAAACGATGCAAAACCCACCAAATACGGATTTACCATCTCTTTGAGGGGGCCTAAAGGTCAAAATTCCAGTGTAATTTCCCTTTTGCGATCCGCTGGATTCAGGTTTAAACCGCAGGGGCAAACTAGGCTTTTGCCTAGGGCCCCGCGCTTTTGGGGGCCCTCGCGGGCCCAAAGGGGGGTTCGGGGGCCCCTTCCAAATTTACGCACTTGGTGCAAGTCCCAAAGGGGCCCCTCCCAACCCCCTAAAAAGTTCAAGTGTTTGGAGAGTAAAATTGATTTTTAAAAAATTTAAATCAAAACAAAAATAAAAAATTTAAAATTTAAAATTTTAAAAAAAAAATTTAAATAAACCTAACCATAGATGGCAACCCCAAACACCCCTTTTTTTACATCAGAACAGCTGTTTTTCCCGCTAATGGGGGAGTAGGGGAGTTTCCCTTCCCCAAATTTTCTGTAGTAATTTACACTTTCTGATTTGGGTTACTGTGAAAAATTTAAAATGAAAAAATGTAAGCAGCTACATACTTCGTTTTCTGGTTCCTGATTACAAAAATTGGGAAAAGAAAAAAAAACTCCCAGAACCCAAAATGCAATTTTTAAATTTCTTTTAAAAAATTTATATTATGCCAGATGCAGAATTGAGAAAAACTGCATTAAAGTTGCAACAACACCTTTCCAGTTTGTTCAGGACCATTTTTTTGAAGAAATAGTTTTTTTTCCTGGGTATATAAATCTTTTTAAAAGCTCCCCCCTAAAAAAATGTGCCCCCTCAGCTGTTTTGGGAAAAAAATTTAAAAAAACGAGGTATCCCCAAAAAACCTTCCCAAAATTTGACATATTGTATCCCCTTTTACCAACACTTCCAGCTACAAACCCTGTAAAAGGGAAAACGTTCATTTTCTTTTTTTAAAAAAAGAGTGAAAAATTTTTTGAATTTCAAAATTTGAGAAAGTGGGTATCAAGCAAGTCCATGGCCCGACGGAAAAAAAAATTGAATCTTGTTTCAAAAAAAAGCGTTTTGACAATAAAGAATTTTCCTTTGGTTTATATAAATTAGATCCTTTTAAAATTTAAATTAAAATTTGGGAAAAATTTTAATAATAACGGGGCCCAAAAATTTTTTAAAAATTTTCCCTTGGGGTAAATTTAAGTTTGGGGGGTGGTTGTCCCAAAGGGACCTACCCAAGGTTGGGCCCGCCGCGGTCAGGTGTTTTAACCCGTTGTGGGATCGGGATAGTGGGGGGTGTTGGGCCCAAACCCCCTTTTTATATAGTTTCCCTTTGGTTTGCTTTATTTTTCAAATTTCCTTTAAAAAATGTGAGTAGTCACAAAAAGCGTTTGGGAATTTCTCTATTTTTTCAGAGGGGGTTTTTTTGCATATATTAAATATATAAATATAAAATAAAAAAATTTTATATATATAAATATATATATATATATATAAAATTTTTTATAAAATATATATATATAAAAATAAAATTGTTCGTGCCAATATGTAAAAGGGGGTTTAAATTAAACCAAGAACTCATTTAAAAAATTAAGTCCTTTCTAAAATTTTCTCTTAAAATTTTAAAAGGGTATATATTTTTCTTTTAAAATGAAAATTGAAAAAATTTTTTTAATTTTGCCCCAAAAAGGGAATTTTTTAGAAAACTTTACCAAACCCTTTATTATAACTAACAATTTATTTTAGCCTAACCCAACTAAATAAAATTTTAAAATACTTTTACAAAAATTTAGTACAAAATAAACAAAATAAAAATTTTTTTTTTCTTTTGGTTCAGAATTTTTTTTGGGCAAAATTATTGCTTTACAAAAATTTTTTTAAACTTGTCCTATAAAACAAGATGAGCGTTGCTTTTTTAAGCCAAGATCCCCAATTTTTGGGCCTTTTTGGGCACGACACAAACTTATAAATATAAAATTTTATATATTTAATATATAAAAATATATATATATATTTATAATATATATATTTTTTTAATTTTCCGTTGCCAAAAATGTAAAATGGTAAATTAGAAAAGAACTCTTTTAAAAATTAAGTTCTTTTT